AAACAAAGAAAAACATAAGTTTCTGTTCCTGAAAGAAATCAGCAAAAGAATGCTTTACTCTAAGCGATAAGAAGGCTTACCAGGTATCATAAAAACATTACATTATGCCAGAGCCAGTAGGTGGCACAGTCGCTAAGGTGCCGGACTCCCACGTAGCAGACTGCAGTTTGAGTTCCAGATCTGGTGTCCTGCTTTCTCACTTTCCCTCTCTCTCTCTCTTATTCTGTGACTGACCTGGAAAAAGACATGCCCTATAGCAAATTAAATAATAATAATAAATAAAATTTTCAAAGAAACCGAAAAAAGAAAAAACCATGATGCCTGGGCTAGGACATAGCATCCCACCATCAGTGGACCAAAGCAGTCTACTAGTGTTTGCAGGCCTCTGTTAATGTTTGCAGGTGGTGTTTCACGTTTGTAGATGTGACTTCCCAGGCCACTGGAAACAACTTTAGAAAATAGGAAAAAGTAGAATTCTGCCCTCACAATTTATTTGGGAGGTAATTCCAGAAGCCACCAGCAGGAGAGTGAGGAAAAGAGATTGAGAAGGGAATGCAACTAAATAAAACATGTGTCTTATGGGGCCAGCAGGTGGTGTGATGGTTAAGACGCTGGACTTGCACATGGCAGGCTGTGGTTCAAACTCCAGACCTGACAGCCTGAAAATTACACCAGATGCAGGGACCAGCAGTTAGCATAATGACTATGTCGCTGAACTCCCATGTAGCCTCCCGCAGTTCGAGTCCCGGACTTGGTGGCTTAAACTCATGCCAGGCGCATGTGCGTGCGTGCCCAAGATCCCGAGAGGAGAATGGAGAAGAAGGGATTGCAGCATGGCCATCCCCCCTGGGGGGTGTTTATCTCTTTGTCTCTCTCTGTCTTTCTGGCGAGCGTACATGCCCTATAGCGAAAATCTGTCCAAAAAAAAATTTTTTTTAAATTATACCGGGTGCATATACATGGATGCTCAAAATCCCAGGAAAGAATGGAGGACAAGTGACTATGGCATGGCCATGGCTATGACTATGACTATGGCACAACACCTTCCACCCAGCAGGGGTGATTTCTCCCTTTCCCTGTCTCTGTCTCTCTCTTTCTCTGGCAAACACACACACACCCTATAGCAAAAAAAACTTTAAAAATAAATTAAATGTTATCACTCAGATTACATCTGTGAACAGCTGGAACTTAATCCAATGGGGAAACCCATCTAGAACTCAAGTCTCAGCATCCTCACATCTAAGGGTGAGGGAGCTGCAGTATCCATACCCTGACTCCAGTCAGTTGCATATAAGTAAATGCTTTCACATCTGAGAGGAAAATACCAGACCAATAATATCTTGTCTGGATTTCCTCAGAAGCAGACCTTGAATCAAAGATTCAAGTACAACCGTTAGTCTGGGAGGTCACAAAGAAAGCACCCATAGGGGAGCAGGGTTAATATGACACGCTGGCAAAGTCTGCTCCTATCGAATGTTAATTGCCTGACACTTCTGGATTGGCTCTTACAGAAGTCAGAGTGGCCTTCTACAGTTCTGGAAAAGCCCACAGACACAGAAGTGAACATTCTAGAAGAGAGAAATTGTCCAGAGCACACCCATCAAAATAAAATCTGAGGGATATGGGCAGGTTGCTGATCATTCATTAAAATGATAATTCATCAAATAACTCGTGGAAATGAAAAGCCTGATCATGCAGTAATGAAACAAAACCATCGTTGGAGTTTTCAAAGTCCAAGATAAAAAATCATCTTGCCAAGACTGTCATCTTGCAAAAATGCAGAGAGAGGATGGTTGGGTTCTGGGTCAGCCACTGCTGAACTTTAAAACTTGGGTAAGTTTGGGCAGGTGTAACACAGAGAGAATGTCCCCTGCCCTCGTTCTCTTGCAAGTTACAAGAGTAAGCTAAGATAATGTATAAGAAAATCCTGTGAAATGTAAAAAGCCCTAAACAAAATACAAAATATAAGAAACAAAGCTCATTTGAAACAAGAATTTCAGTTCATATTTTAGAGAAATTTTATTTCCTTTAACTAGAGACTTTCATCAGAAAAAAGAAAATGTGGCAACAGATGACAGAACATTAGAATTTTCTCTGGAGCCTCATTCTTTGCTGTTGGTAGGAAGAGAGCAGCAAAAGGCGTTGATGACTCTTTTCTTAGAGATAATGAGCTGCTCGTGATTTGTGAATCCATTTTCTGAGTTATTTGGAAGTCTACAATAGTAGCTCCCGAGTAAAAATTTTATAAAGAATCATCTATGTGTCTGTCAATGAACATAAAGCTGATTTTCAAAAACAAACAAGGTACAGAGAATAGTGAGAAAAGTTTTCCTATTTCTTCACCTACCACCCTGTCCTAAATCAACTGATTTGAAGTAAAAGTATTGAAGTACGTCAAGAGAAGTACAACTTTTTAAACCTATGTGGGCTTTTGCTAGACAGAGATATACCAGATTACAGTTAAATCCAGGGTTCAGTCAGACTTTGAACTCCAAGACAGGAATGTTCCATTCATTCTATAGACAGCATATCAGCAGCCCCAGAGCCACCAAGAACACACTGAAAGGTATTGTGTCTTTTGAACCCATTTTTCATAACAACAACCACAGGGGCAAAAGAATCGATTTTTAAAATTTCAAGACTTGGGGGACCAGCAGTTGGCGTAATGGCTATGTCACTGGACTCTCACATAGTCGACCGCAGTTCGAGTCCTGGACCCAGTGGCTTAAATTCACACCGGGCACGTGTGTGTGTGTGTGTGTGTGCGCCCAAGATCCCTAGAGGAGAATGGAGGAGAAGGGATTGCGGTGTGGCCATCCCCCCAAGGGGGGATTTCTTGCTTTCTGTCTCTCTCTGTCTTTCTGGCAAGCGCACGCACCCTATAGCAAAAACCTCTTAAAAAAAAAAAAAAAGAGCATGGTTCTAGTCCCGTATCTTGTGGCTTGCTTTCTCACTTTCTCTCTCTCTCTTCCTCTCAATCTCTCTCTCTCTTTCTGGCCATTAAAAATGAGTAAATGAGTAAAGTTAAAGAAATAATTCTTTTTAAGAATTGCAGATTAATTTGTATTTAGCACTGAGCCAAGCATATTATGTAGATTTCTAACATTTAATTCTCCCAACAATTCTTTAGATTCAATGCTCTTTTTATCTCCATTTCATACATGAGAAAATTGAGTCCTAAAAAAAGGCTACCTAGTGCCACCTTTAAAGAAGAATGTAAGCATTCAAAAATGACAATGTTACAATTTTGTGACAATTTATGCCACAAATGGCATAGTGGTTAAGGTGCTGGACTCCCACATGTCTGACCCCGGTTCAAGTCCCTCACCCAGGAGCTTGAAACTCATGCCAGGTGTGTGTGCAAGCGTGCCCAAAATCCCAGGAGGAGAATGGAGGAGAAGGGGTTGCAGCATGGTCATTCTCTTCTGGGGAGTGATTTCTCTCTTTCTCTCCTTCTGGCTCTCTCTGTGTCCCCAGAGAGTATAGGTACCCTATGGCAAAACAAAACAACCCCCCCACCAAATTCTCTAAAGGAAGAAAGAAAATGACATTTTATAGTTCTGAATTTTCTTATGCTGAAAAATTCCTTCAGAACGCTCTTATGATGTTGCTCCCCACCCTCCCCCAGAAGCATAGGCGAGCCAGCCTTCACTATTAAGCAATAGCGACCTCAGTTCTCTTCTGCGAAGGCCATTGCCATCAGTACCTCCACAGCTTCACAAGTGCTCTGAAAAAAAAGCACGTCTATTCAGACAAGGTCTGCAGACCATGCACTTCCTTTTCTCATCCAAGAGGGATCAGCCAAGTCGTCATCTGCTATTGTCTAGACTGACAGGATTTTGCCACCACCCAAAGTGCTCTTCTTTCTATTTTTGAGCAATGTGATATAATCTTTCAGACTAGAAAAAGTGAGGTAATTAAAAATACCCTGATTTTACCCTGGAAGACTCAAGGAGGTGCAAGGCTAATCACAAAGAAATAACAATTGCTAAAGATGCTGATGGTCCACATTTGTTGCGCAGTTTATTAAGGACACCACATAAAGCACTTTATGTGGCTCATCTCCAAGAAACATCACAGCTGTCCTATGTAGGAGGTATTACTATTACTCTAATCTTACAAATAAAGAAACCCAGGTTTGGGGCCAGCCAGTGGTATGGTCAAGGCGACTGGGTCCTACATGGCCAACTGCACAGTTCAAGTCCCAATGCCAGTGGCTTGAAAAACACGCCAAGGGAGTGCGTGTGCACCCTATAGCAAAAACCTCTCAAAAAAAAAAATCTGAATTTGAACAACATGAAACTACAAGGCCACTGTATCTATTTACAGATACTTGCACAAGAATAGGATTAACATAGGAACAACTCCTTAAAAATGGAGGGACCAGCAGACAGTATAATGGTTATGTTGATGGACTCCCACATAGTCAACTGTGGTTCGAGTCCCAAACCTGGCAGCTTAAAACTCGTGCAGGGTGCATGTGCGTGCATGCCCAAAAGAGGAGAATGGAGGAGAAGGGATTGCAGCATGGCCTTCCCCCATGGGGGGGGTGAATTCTTTGTTCTCTGTCTCTCTGTCTCTCCAGTGAGCGCACACATCCTATAGCAAAAATCTCTCTCTAAAAATAATAGTAATCATAATAAATTTTTCAAAAAGATTGGAGAAGGAGATATAAATGCCCCATCTAGGCCCAGTCACAGTGGTACAAACAGGAGAGTGCTGCTCCCTGGTGGGCTGAGGCCACATGGAAGATCTGGGTTCAGTTCCTGGCCCAACCTAACAGGCTGGCATGGTAGCATGCACCTGCCATCCCAGCTATCTGGAAGACTGGGGCAGAAGGATCACAATGTGGGAAGACTCTGTCAAAAATCTCTTTCTCACTCTCTCATTGGAAGAATAAATAAATAAAAGTCCTACATAGTTTTATCACTTAGCAAATTGCACAACTGTGTATAAGCATGGATTTCATTTCCTGATACGCCCCTGTGACAGTCGCGTACCTTCACTTGCCTGAATGCTGGGCTCTTGTGGTGGTTCCAGAATGTCATCAGGATGTGGGACACAGAGTCCATGGAAAGGCTCCAGGTCGAAGCACTCGTGTAGCAACTGCAGGTTCACCCTGGAGCACACACTCATGAACCCAACAGCTTTGTCATCCACCTGAAACATCCAAACACGTCCTTACTCTATTAGACCTCGAGCGATTCTCATCCTGAAACTTCCTCCAGCCTAGGAGATCAACTGCGAGTACTTCTGTAGGCATTCTGAGATATTTAAGGGAGGAAGAAATGTTTCCCTTAGGTCCCTCTAGTGTTGAGCACAATGTATGGCAAAAAAAAAAAGGCTTTGGGCAACCCTAAAGACGATGGGTAACCCTAAAGACATGGGTAACCCTAAAGACGATGAAGTAACGTAGGGAGGTTACAGGGAGCCCTTTAGGGGAAACGACCAGAACTTTACACTTGTCCTCTTTGCCCAGACAATCCCCTGCCTCCGCCATATCCTCTGCCATTGGATGCCATTCGTTGTTTTTGTTACCCTACAAGCCGGGCCCTCCTGTCCACTTTTGTCCCATCCATGTGCACAGTGTTGAGTAGGTTGGGTCACTGTTCCAGAGCTCACCTGATTGGCCCCAGTTTGGAGGCCTATTATCAGGTAGTAACTCTTCTATTTATTTATTTATTTATTTATTTATTTATTTTAGTTAATTGGTTTATTAACTAAATAGTCTGATGTGAAGACGATGCTAAGAAAAGAGTTTTGATGAGAAACATTCAAGTGAAATAAATTTGAGTTAGGCCAGGTTGGCTCACCAAGTGGGTCTGAACTGCAAACATATCACCTCCCAGCACCCTCACAGACACTTGGTTCTGAAGTCCTTGTGATTTTAGGTCTTTGATAAAGAATACACAGGTGGGAAGACAAATTATTAGCTCATCTAAATCCACTATTGGTACCAAAATTCTATAGATTAACCACTTTAATTCTATCATATTCTACATTGAGAAATGACTATGACAGAAATTTCTTATTATGTCCCTTCAATAAGCACAGGGAGTCTATGCCAGGGTTAGGGAGCCCTGCTGGGTAGCAGAGGCCTGAGCGCCAGCTGACACAATGTCAGCACCCAGGGCCCAAAAGTTGGTATTTCAGGACCAGCAGGTGATGTGGTGGGTTAAGGCACTGGACTCCCACAAGACTGACTGAGGTTTGAGTCCTGAACCTGGTGGCTTGCTTTCTGACTCCCTCTCTCTGTCTCTCTCTGGGGAGCACAAACTTTAAAAAATAATAATAAATATTTTTTTTAAATAATAATAATTTGTTATTTCAATTTTCTCTGCAAGGAAAATATTTAAAATTTAAAGATCGAGAATGTATAGGCCTTTAAATTTCAAATAAATAATTCCTGTTGATGGAGCCAACCCTATAGCCCAGCAGTTAAGCAATATGATTCAAATCCTGGCCCCAGGAGCTTGAAAAAACATGCTGGGTGCCATGTGCATGCACAGCCCAAATCCTGGAGGAGAGGAAATGAGACTGCAGCGTCCTCATCCTCCATTAGAAGGTTCTGTTCTGACTCTCTCTCTCTCTCTCTCTCTCTTTCTCTTGCTATGAAAAACATAGATACATAAAATAAAAATCTTTAGTGAGTGCATGTGCCCTCTGACAGTAAAAAATATGTATATAATAAAAATAATTCCTCCTGATTATTAATGCGGTCTTAAGCAAATTCTGGTTGACTGATTAAATTCTGAGAGCTACTATTAGGAACCAGCATTTACTAGACCCAATTCCTCAAATATTCAGACTTGATTTCCTTTTTTTTTTTTCCTATTTATTAAAAACTTTGCCTGAGGGCACTCACCAGAGAGAGGTGGAGAGACAAAGAGAGAAAGGGCAAGGGACAAAGCACCCACTAATGAGCACCCATTAATGAGGCACAGTCATGCTGCCATCCCTTCTCCTCCATTTCTCCATCCTGTCTGAATTTAGGCATGTACACACATGCACCTGGCCTGGCTTTCAAGCCACAGGGGTGCAAACCACATGGTGACTGTGTGGGATCCAGCTCCCTTAACAACCAGGCTGGCCCCGACTTGCTTTCTTAATATAATCATTCCATGCAGAAAACAGAAAAACTCAACAATTACAAGGATTCCCTGTTCCAAAGAATGTGACATCTTTCCATAAATACTCAGTTGGAAACAAATTATATATATATTGCTAATGCTTTAACCTCCTAAAAGGTACAATAGAGAATCAAGGTACAATAATGCTCAGTCTTTTACATGACACAGAGAGAAAAAATACATATTAAACTATTCATTCTCAAATATGCCATCCAGTTTAAAACCATTTGTTCTCAAACATATGCTTGACAAATAAACGTGAGCCTTCCTTTATTTTCTTCCTAAAACTGAAATACAAGAGGAATTTTGAAAAGTTCATTTTTTTCCATGCATCTTTCTTTCTTCCAGGGCCCCCCAAACTGATA